GTTAAGTAGGAACTTTCCGTGTCCAGCGGGATTTGCCAAAACCCCGATTTTGCGTCTAGTTTACTGAAGTATTTGGCGCCTGCCAGTCTGCCCATTATCTCTTGTAGAGTTGGTAGTTGATAATGCTCACGCTTGATTGCTTTGTTAAGATCACTCGGATCTATGCATATTCTCAGATCGCCATTCTTTTTCTCGTTGACTACCATCGAGTTGACCCATTGCGTTGGTTCCTCGACTTTAAGGATTACGCCTTGTTCTTCCATTTCATTTAGCTTGGTTTGCACCCTGTCTCGAAGCGCAGCTGGTAGTTTTCTTGGTGGGTGAATGACAGGTGTCACGGATTCGTCAATCTTAATGTGATATAGCTCCGAAATGGAGCCAAGCCCTTCAAAACAGCTTGAGTACTTCTGAAGTATTTGTTTTTCGGATAAACCAGAAATGCTAGATCCCGTCGTTTTGTCTTCGTTTTCTCCTTTCTCAGCTACCTTGTCGACGTTAKGGAATGTGATAAAGTTCATATTCTTACAGGTTTCGCATCCAAGGAGTGATTTTCCTTGTTCCACAACTTGAAACTCTAGAACTTGTTTGTTATTTTTGTTACGACACTGGAGATAGCACTTGCCCAGTACAGGTATTCTGTGGCCGCCATATGCTGTTAGCTTTGCGTTACTTGCTCTGAGCTTCTGTTTTCTTTGATGCTTAGGGACCGCATTATTAATAATAATCCTTAGTGAGGATATTTATCTCAGCTCCAGAGTCTAGCTTGATCATTATAGACTTCTCGTTTATTTTCAGTTTGCCATATTCCTCGCTTTTGCCGTTGGTTTCGCAGGAGTCAATTACCATATCCACGCCGTGATCGGAGCTTGATTCATCGCTCGAGTATTCAAGGTCTTGTACCGTTTTCGATCGGCAGAATTCCTTGAAATGGCCTAATTTATGACAGGAATTACAGCTTTTGTTGTATGCAAAGCATGCTTTCGGTGGGTGCACTCTGCCACAGTTTCCACAATTCTTGTTTCGTTTTGAGTCTCCATATTGTTGCCCATGCTGCCTGTTGTTTGGATTGGTGTGGTGTGGTTTGTTGTCTGAGTATTGYTTTTGATGTTTTGTTCCCTTGTGTTTCAGGGCATCCACACTAGTTGGCTTGTCGTCACTGATAGATCTCATTTGCTCTTTCGAAGCCTCCGTTGCTCGGCAAATGTCCATGGCTTTCTGTAGCGTTAGGTCAGTCTCGCGGAGTAGGCGTTCCTTTAAGCTTTGCATGCGAACACCGCACACAATCCTGTCGCGGATTAGTCCTTCTTCCAGAGTGGAAAACTCACAAGTCGAAGCAAGTGTTCGAAGGACAGTAACGTACTGATCTATCTTTTCCCCTTCTTCTTGATTTCGGGTATTAAATTTGTGGCGTTCGTAAGTCACGTTCTTGCGAGGGTTGCAGTACTTCTGGAAGGCAGTAATCAAATCAGTAGTTTTTCTGGTCCAGACCGTGTCCCCATCTGTATCGGTAGTTGTCTCGGGCCTGTCGAAACTGAACGTTTTGTAAATCTCTCGACCCTGCTCCCCAATGCATAAAAGAAAGTACGAGCATTTCTCTTCCTCAGACTTTGTCCTCAACTCTGTCTTCTCGAATAGCTTCCAATGCTCCTCGAAGCGCCTCCAGGCTTCGCTAACGTTCCAATCGAATGATGGTGGTTTGGGGGCTGCCCATTGTAATCCCGCCATTGCTCTTTGGAGTTCTCAGAATCCCACTTCTGACGCCATGTTAT